AGGGTCGGAGATGATTATTTCGATGAGTTACAAACGGAAAAACAAAATTAATATACCCTCCATACTATGGTGGAGGGTATAAAAATGGGTTGAGGTGTCGGGTTAGTTGTCCACACTCGGAAAACCCCTATTACTATGAAAAAGCAAAAAAAAAACCCTAATGTTGAGGACCCCCGCAAACGTATAAAGGATCACGATCTGCCAATCTGCACTTGGAATGTGCGCACGTTGTATAGAACAGGCGCAGTGTTCGCTTTGGCGGATGTACTCAAGAAGTAAAAAGCCGATATTATTGCCTTACAGAAAATGCGATGTAAAGGGACTGGCGTAAGTAAATCAAATGATTGCGCCCTGTATTATAGCTGCCATGAAACGAGACATGAATTTGGCTGCGGATTTATGGTTAATAGGAGAATAAAAGACCTCGTCTCCAGATTCACTCCAGTAGATGGGCGAATTGCTATAATTCGCATAAAAGCGAAGTTCTTCTACATCAGTCTTATTTGCGCTCATGTTCCGACTGAAGACAAAAATGAGCAGACCAAAGACATATTTTATGAACGCCTAGAAACAGCATATGATCGATGCCCTGGCCAAGACATTAACATTCTGCTAGGAGATTTTAATGCAAAAATCGGAAGGGATAATATCTTTGGCCCCACCGTCAGAAAATTCAGCATCCATGAAGAAACATCCGACAACGGTATGAGGTTGATACATTTTAGTACATTTCGTACCCTTCTAGTTCGAATTTCCAAAAATTTCCAGCCTTATCTCACGCCTACACACCAATCCTGCTAGGAGCTTTTAATGCAAAAATCGAAAAATTCAGCTTTCATGAAGAAACATCCAACAACGGCATGAGGTTGATTGACTTTGCGGCAGCCCAAAAAAAACATGGTAGTTAGCATCACAGGTTCAAGCATCTCGATATACACAAGGCCACCTGGATTTCTCCTGATCAAGCAAAAAGAGAAATAAAATCGATCATGTTGTGATAGATGGAAGGCATTCATCCAGTGTTTTAGACGTCCGATCGATCCGGGGAGCGAATATCGATTCGGATCATTACCTTGTGGCAGCCAAGGTGCGCACCCGTCTTAATGTAGCAGCAAAGCTTCGATCTAATGTAACACAGAAATTTGACGTCGAAAAGCTGCAAACACAACAGATAGCAGAAGCCTACTCCGCTCAACTTACTCATCTGCTTGAAGAAAGCACTTCTTGTCCCGATAATAGTATAGAAGCACAATGGCATAGAATTGCCAACTCCCTACAAACTGCAGCAAAAGCAACACTTGGGTACCAAAGACCACCCGGCAAGAAACCCATGGTACGATCAGGAGTGTCATAATGCTACTGAAGTGAAAAACGCAGCGTATAGGGCAATACTGCGGACAGTAGCAACACGTAATGCGATGGAGAACTATCGGGAGAAAAGGAGAGAGGAGAAACGAAAAAAGAAGGAAAAACAAGAAAAACGTGAGCGTGAGCAAATCGAGATGTACAGAAGTCAGAATGAAGTCCGAAAATTCTACTAACGGGTAAAACACCAATCCGAAAGTTTTGGTGCAGGCACATCCTCCTGTAGAGATTAAGAAGGAAATCTGGTGATAGATACAGACAGCGTGCTGAGAATCTGGAAGGAGCATTTTGAAAAACTTCTGGTATCAAATAGTGGCGGTGAAGAGGATACCCCAGGACCAATAATAGATGACGGTATTGAGTGTATACCACCTAGCCAAGATGAAGTCGGAATAGCAATCAATCGGCTGAAGAATAATAAAGCAGCAGGTGCCGATGGGTTACAAGCCGAACTATACAAGACTGGTGGTCAGATGCTGGTAAGGAGCATGCACCAGCTAATTAGTACAATTCGGTTAGAGGAATACATCCCCAATGATTAGAACCTCAGCATCCTGTGTCCCGTCCACAAAAAAGAAACAAGACGATATGTGCCAACTATAGAGGAAATAGCCTTCTTCCCATCGCATGTAAGGTGCTATCCGGTGTGCTATGTGAACGATTGAAGCCAATGGTTAAGGACATTATTGGACCAAACCAATGCGGTTTCAGATCTGGCAAATCCACCATTTACCAGATGTTCACTCCTGCCAAATCCTGGAAAAAAACCCACGAAAAACATATCAACACATTCCACCTATTCCCGCCGCATTTGACTCAAGCTCTATCCGTTCAGAGGTGTTTAAAGCTATGTCTGCGTTGGGCAATCCTGCAAAATTAATACGGCTATCCAGGATAACTTTAAGTGGCACAAGGTCAGCATTTAAAGTCGGAAAGGACCTCTCGGAGCCCTTTAACACCGAAAGAGGATTCAGACAAGGTGACAGTTTGTCGTGTGATCTTTTTAACATCCTGCTGGAAAAGGTCGTACGAGACGCAAAGGTGAAAAGAAATGGCACTCTGTACACCAAACAACACATGTTACTCGCCTACGCCGCCGATGACATCGATATAATGGGTCGAACATTGCGAGCGGTAACAGCCACCTTGGATCAAATTGAGCAGGAGTCTGCCAAAGTGGGTCTTGCAGTAAACGGCGAGAAGTCCAAGCTGATGGTATCAACGCGCAAGACGTCTGTGGAACTTGAGAACTACAGCTTCGAGGTGGTCAAAGATTTTATATACCTTGGTAACGAAAACGAATGACATCAGTTTTGAAATTCGGAGAAGGATTGTGATGGCCAACCGATCTACTATGGTCTGAGCAAACAACTCAAAAGCAAGGCCACCTCCCGCCAGATCAAACTCACTTTCTACAAGACGCTGATACTACCCGCCGTGCTGTTATATGGATCTGAAGCATGGTTACTTACGCAAGCAGATGAGGCAGCTCTTGGAGTGTTTGAGGAAAAAAATTCTCCGAAAGATCTATGAGCCGATATGCGTTGACGGTGAATATCGCCGTCGAATGAACCATGAGTTGTACCAGCTATTCTCGAACATCGACATTGTTAGACGTATTGAGTTGTAGCGACTACGTCGGCCAGATCATGTTGTGAGAATGGATGAAGATGCCGCCCCAGCCTAGAAGGCATATAAATGCGAACCAGCTGGTGGTTCACGCAGAAGGGGAAGGCCACGAAAGATCAAGTCGAAGGCAACATTGCCGATAATGGTCTATCAAATTGGAAAAACCGCGCAATAGACCGACGCGCCTGGAAATCTTTTCTAAGCTCGGCTTATGGAACGAAAGTTCTGTCTCAAGCCAGCTAAGTAAGTATGCACAAAATATTCAGGCATTTGGAGCCTGCTTTATGCCCTCTAATTTGTTCAAAGTAATTGTACCGGCCCACAACAACACTCGATGAAGAGCACTGAAGGTTTAAATAGGAGGAACATACATAAATAAGTACAAGTACCTATACATGTAAGAACTCCATCGGTAATACGGCCTCTTTTATGCAGAAAGGCATTAAGAGAGTCATGCCCCGTCAGTAAGAAACCAGTACTTAAGCCGAAGCGAAAGTCTGGCCGGTCCACTACGAACATTGCATCACGAATAATCTCGTACGTCACCCTCCCTTTGTCACTGTTCGTCCACCTTGTCCTGCACCTATCAACAACACAATCCCGAAGGATAGTGCTGTACCGACTACTCTCCCCATCCATCAAATCAGAAGGCCTGAGCCAATCATCCTCATCCAAGTGCAAACCACGCTTAAGCTTATACATGATAGCCCTACATCTCACTTCAAGATCAAGTGGCGCGGCGCCAAGCAGCACCTGCAACGCCTCTGTTGAAACAGTTCGGCACACTGGCAAGCACGCTAACATGACGACAATTATAGTTGTACTATCCGTATGAAGCACAAGTTCAACTACAACTTTAATTTACGCTATTGGAGCTGGAGTTACCGCGGCTGCTGGCACCAGACTTGTCCTCCAATAGGTCCTTGTTAGGGTATTTAAAGTGTACTCTGTATTGTTATTTTTCGTTACTACCTCCCCGAGCTGGGAGTGGGTAACTTACGCGTCTGCTGCCTTCCTTAAATGTGGTAGCCGTTTCTCAGGCTCTCTCTCCGGAATCGAACCCTGATTCCCCGTTACCCGTTGCAACCATTGCAGTCCTAGATACTACCATCAAAAGTTGATAGGGCAGACATTTGAAAGATCTGTCGTCGGTACGACAGACATTTGGAGCCTGCTTTATGCACTCTAATTTGTTCAAAGTAATTGTACTGGCCCACAACAACACTCGATGAAGAGCACCGAAGCAGGTTTAAATAGGAGAAACATACATAAATACAAGTACCTATGCATGTAAGAACTCCATCGGTAATACCGGTAATACGGTAACAGTTGTACTACCCGTATGAAGCACAAGTTCAACTACGAACGTTTTAACCGCAACAACTTTAATATACGCTATTGGAGCTGGAGTTACCGCGGCTGCTGGCACCAGACTAGTCCTCCAATAGGTCCTTGTTAATGTATTTAAAGTGTACTATGTATTGTTATTTTTCGTCACTACCTTCCCGAGCTGGGAGTGGGTAATTTACGCGCCTGCTGTCTTCCTTAGATGTGGTAGCCGTTTCTCAGGCTACCTCTACGGAATTGAACCCTGATTCCCCGTTACCCGTTGCAACCATGGCAGTCCTAGATACTACCATCAATAATTGATAGAGCAGACATTTGAAAGATCTGTCGTCGGTACGAGATTTTGTAAAAATATTTTTTTGGCAGGTCCTCTATAGAAGTGGATTTTTTAAAAATATTTTTTCATAGAGCTACCATAGGCGGACCTGGATTTTTAAAAATAAAAAAAATAATTATTAATTTTTCATAATTTTTATTTTCAATTTTATTCCATATATAACTTATTAAATAGTACAAATTTTACAAAAAAATAATTTTTATAAACTAAATTTTTTATCATGTCCCATATAAAAAAATCGGCAAAAATAGAGCAATTTTCCCCTTCATTTTATTTTTTTTAAATTGAAATTTCTTAAAAATCTAAAAAATTGCCCACCTCTTCAAAAATGTTCATCACAAAAACAACCATCTCGTGAATTTTCCTTGATCCAATCTAAGTACTTCGTAACTCGGGTATAGACACCAGGATAATCGGGACGAGCACAACCATTACCCCACGAAACAATACCAATTTGTTCATAACGTTTATCATCGGGACGTAGACGAACCAAAGGACCACCCGAATCACCTTGACAGCTATCACGTTCCCCCGTACCCGGATAACCGGCACACATCATATTTTTCGTAATCATTTTCGAAGTGTAATTGGTTTGGGCCACACAGCTTTCATTGTCGAGGACGGGAACCTCAACCTCTTGCAGGAGACATGAAGGCTTACCATCTTCCTTTAGGGTACCCCAACCAGTGGCTATGCCCTTAGTGCCCACAAACAATTCATTTCTTTCCTCCGGTCGTGGCAGACAAATGGGTCGTATAAAACTCGTTATGGGTACCCGATCATTCAGACGCAACAGGGCAATGTCATTGTCGAAATTCGAAAAACTAAATTTCTGGGTAAAGGCACGCAGCACAAAGCGAGTCTCTGGCCTCTCCTTGTCATTGCAACGATCATGTTCGCCAAATGTGACCTTGATCATGAACCACATAAAGCCCTTGACACAATGGGCGGCGGTCAGAACATAGCGATCATTGATGAGGGTGCCGCCGCAATAGAAACGATTAAAATAGCTGAGGCGTGCCATCCATGGGTATTCGCTGACTCCGGTTGTGGTGCCGCCAACAATACGCGACTCGTCATTGCGTTCACCGCATCTGTGCGTGGGGAGAGAGGGAGAAAAAAAGAGAGAACAAAAATTATTTGGTCATTAGTGTCAAGATATGCGGTCGCATTTTTTCTATATTTTTTTTTCGAATATTGATGGCAGATTTTATAATTAGTTTTCTATGCAAATACAAAATGCTATATTTAAAATACAGATAAGCCTCAGAGAATGCGTAAATGTATATTTAAAAAAAAAATTAAAAAATAAGGGCGTGGATTTTTCATGGAGCTACAATAGGCGTGGATTTTTATACCCTTCACCACACTGTGGTACAGGATATTATGTCTTTGTGCATATGTTTGTAACAGGCAAATAAAATCGAGATAGACCCATGGTTCCTTTTGAGAATATGCATAGAATCACTTTCTGAGTCTATTTATGCATGTCCGTACGTCCGTCTGTCCATGTTAAATTGTAAACAAAGTACAGGTCGCATTTATGATCCGAATTGGATGACATTTGGCACAGCTCATTTGTTTGGCCCAAGGACGAACCCTATTGAAATTGAAGAAAATCGGATCAGATTTAGATATAGCTCCCCTATATATTTTCGTCCGATTTAAGGTAAATGGTGCAACCAAAGTCCCTATATATATTTCGATTTGCACGAAATTTGGCACAGCGTAATGAATAAGGTCTAGAATGATGTGTGCAAAGTTTTGTGAAAATCCGTTCAGATTTAGATATAGCTCCCATATATATTTTCGTCCGATTTAATGTAAATGTTGTACCAAAGTCCCTATATATCTTTCGATTTGCACGAAAATTGGCATAGCGTAATGAATTTGGTCTAGAATGATGTGTGCAAAGTTTCGTAACAATCGGTTCAGATTTAGATATAGCTCCCCTATATATTTTCGTCCGATTTAAGGTAAATGGTGCAACCAAAGTCCCTATATATCTTTCGATTTGCACGAAAATTGGCATAGCGTACTGAATTAAGTCTAGCATGATGTGTTCAAAGTTTCGTGAAAATCGGTTCAGATTTAAATATAGCTCCCATATATATTTTCGACCGATTTTATGTAAATTGTTGCATCAAAGACCCTATATATTCTTCGATTTGCACGAAATTTGGCATAGCGTACTGAATTAAGTCTAGAAAGATGTGTGTGAAATTTCGTGATAATCGGTTCAGATTTAGATATAGCTCCCATATATATTTTCGTCCGATTTATGGTAAATGGGGCACAAAAGTCCCTATATATCTTCCGATTTGCACGAAATTTGGCATACGGTACCGAATTAGGTCCAGAGTGATGTGTGCTAAGTTTCGTGAAAATCGGTTCAGATTCGTCCGATTTTATGTAATTATTGCACCAAAGTCCCTATATATCTTTCGATTTGCACGAATTTTGGTATAGGGTACTGAATTAAGTCTAGAATGATGTTGCTAAGCTTCGTGAAAAGATCCATAGCTGGGCCGATTGATTCAACGTACTTAAGTAATATAAATTAGTCTCTGGCAAGTTTCCCTGAAATCGGTACATATATATGTAGAATATACCCGAAGTGGTGAAGGGTATCATACTGTCGGCCCAGTCCGACTTTACTACTTTCCTTACTGATTTAAAATATTTTTCAAGGGGTCTTTTAATTTAAAATAATTTTTTAAACCAGTGAGCGGAGCAGTATAGTCGGACGGGGCCGACCATATGATACCCTACACAACTTCCATCAAAATCTAAATTTCTGTGGTTCTTTATTCTGAGATTGGGCAATATTTCGAGATATTTGCATACTTTTGACTGGCTAGAGGCCAGATTCCCTTCACCGTAGGTTGTGTTGTGATGTTCGGCTTTCGACTCGAAAAGTACAAATAATTAAGTTTTCGTTCCACTTCATCCGAAAAAATTATTATCTGATAACACCTAACATTTTAGGCGTTGTCCTTGACCATAACTGGAACCTCATGGAACATTTCAAAGCGATCAGGCTATATATCCGCCCTAAAGTGTGGTAATAGGTTACTAAATAATATATGAATACGTAAGCTCCTGTAAATAATTAAGTGTAACTCCCGCATCCGAGAACCTACGACAATATGATTGGTATCAATTTAAAGGTCAAACACTCCTCTTGGATATACTATCAACTTTTCGGGTATATATCCTTCAGGAGTAAATATATACGCCATAGAATACAATTTTTTTCAATTTTCACACAAAAGTCAGGGTCCATTTGACCCGCTAAATATTGACCGATCTTTATAAAAACTGGCATGCTTATTCCTTGGCCCGACACCTTTCTCCATGTAAAAATTCGCGAAGTTCGGGTCATAACTGGAGCCTCTGGAGCGACCAGAAAATTGGACAAAAATAAAGTTTTTGGTCCATTTCATCCCCTAAATATTAACGGATCTTTATCAAAAACAATAGGGGTCTTCATACATGCAAAATTTCGTGAAGATTGGTCCATAACTGTGGCCTATATCGTGTTTACAAATTATAATGGACAGACGGACGGACGGACACACATGTCCAGATCGACTCAGCTAGCCGGGATATGACGATCGGTATACATAAAGGTGGCTCTAGGACCAATATTTCGTGGCGTTACAAACTTTTGGGACTGCACAAAGCTATAATACCCTGGCGTAGATCCTTAAAAATAATTGTTAAATTTTTTAAAAATATAATTTTTTAAATCCACTCCTCTGTGGATCCTTGAAAATATTTTTTTATTTCCCATAGCTTCTAATTAATCATATTATTTACATAACCTTACTAAGGTTTTACTTTCGCCACCATTTCACTGTTTAATTTTTTGCAAAATTACATTAAAAAATTTCCCGTAACAAAAAACATAACATTTTAATTAGCTGTCAAAAAATTTGTTTAGCAATTAGACCCAATTATTCAATAAAACACTCTCGGGCTTCTGAGTATGTATGTTTGTGTGTATGTGCTTAATAATAACAGACATATTTTGTTTGTGGTTTATTCCATTAACTGTGGTCATCTGTGACGCTAACCTTTGTTGAGGTTTGGCTTTTAGGTTTTTGTTTTCGCAGTGAAAATATTAAGAGGCAATTTAAATATATATTTTTTTTTTGCCAAAAAATAAAAGTCATCAACGAAACCCGTTTTTTTGTTTTGTTAAGACACGCGACAATAAATATATATTCACATTAAGTGTTTATATGTTTGTTCACATAAATATACACATTTTATAGGGTGTTTAGGGATTATAAGATTAGATTTCAAGTCGCTGCTATTATATTTCCAAAACATAGTCCCATGTTAATATCTGAATATAAAATGCTTCAGTTTTATTAAAACTTCGCCTAAAAGTATGCTATACATTTGAGCATTATCATTGTGTGCTAAAGCAAAGGAATATAAAGCAAACATCAATAAGCGTGGATTTTGTAAAGGATTATTTTTGTATGCCGCTACGGTTAGCGGATTTTTGAAAAAATATTTTATTCAAGGACCAATCTAACATCAGATTTCGAGGAGTTACAATTACCAATATTTAAATAACATTTCTTTCTAAGTAAATATTTTTCCTAGAAGCCAATTCAGTGAGTTAAAAAAATAATGGAGTTATAAGCCTATTTTTAAAATATTTTTTTAAGAAGTCAGAGGCGTAGTTTTTTTAGTAGTATTTCTTCGGAAGCATACGTCTTCAATAGTATTTTTTATAAGAGCCAGAAAAGTAATTTTTTTAATTATATTTTTTCGGCAAGCTAAGGCGTGAATTTATTTAATAATATATTTTTTATGAATCAGAGGTATTCGATTTTTATATAAAATAATTTTTCAAAGAACAAGAGGTGTGGATTTTTAAAACGAAAAATTTCTCAAGGAGCTGCATTAAATAAGGCCTCAGCGATGTTATCGATCATTGCCCAAAGTCGGAAGAGAATGTTGCAAAATTCATCGGAGCTTATTATGAATGGTCTTCTGTTCAATAGCAGAGTTCTCAGTGGTATTCTGTGCGGTATTACTGGTCCACTTATGACTTATATAAATAAGTATGACTTATACGCATAAGTAGACTACCATTTGGATTTATGCTAAATCCTTAGAGGTCTTAGGAAAGGCATCAGATTTCTTCTTTTCGCAGTACAATCACTCCATAACCGTTCTATTGTAGCAAAACAGGTCTCAGAAATTTTAAGTACGGTTACAGAAGTCCTGATATCATCTGTTCACTGTAAAAAGTATTAGAGATCGACCATTAGTAGTAGAAGTTCGTAAAATCCTCCTGCATAGTAGGCTAAGTCCCCAGAGGACGTATGCTTCATAGAAAATCTCTGATAAGTCTTCCGTACAATAGCAGATTCCTCAGAGAATTTATGCGCATAAGTATATCCTTCGATGACTTCTGTAAAGAAATCAAGATTGAGAAGGTCATCCACCATAGGACATATCCGAAGAAAATTTTGTACAGTACCAAAATTATGCTGAGATCATCTGTTCACTGTGTAAGGCAACAGAGGTCTTTCGTTTTTGGGAAAAATAACAGAAAATTACCCGGTTCAGTAAGCCAAAATCACAGATCCATCGCAGAGAATTTCAGAGACTTATCCTCAGAGATTTTTCATCTAGAGGTCATCCATACAACTAAAAATTAGCATGGAAATCTTCTGTCGGACGTCGAAAGGTCTGTACAGTAGCAACAAATATCCTATGTTTTCTTTACCACATCAGAAGTTCACAGAGACCTTTGTATAGTTAAAAAAAAAACATCTGAGGTCTTCCCAAAACTTATAAATGGTCTCAGATTAATTCTGCATTGTAGAGGAAATTCTCGTTATGAGTAGAAATTGGCCAGAGAGATTTTATATACAGTAATAGAAGATCGTCTACTCCTTATGTTCACAGTATAAGGTCTTCGGGGTTTTCGATACAGTAGGGAAATTCCTTAGAAGGTATCATATGTCATTCCAACGGTACCAGAGATTGTAAATGCCTTCTATACAGGAACACAGATGTCAGATTTTTTATGTACATGTACAAGTCTCAAATATCTTCAGAGCAA